ATTTTGGTGTGGTGCTAGGGTAAGGGTGAGGAGCTAGGATTAAGGGTGCCTCTCTCCTGCCTGAGGGTTGTACTAATGAGTAGGCTTAGCATCTGCACGGAATCATGCAGCTGTGTGTGGGCTCATGCCAACTGCCATCATCTTTTTCTTTTTCCTTTACCAACTGGCCTTGTGAACTAAGTCTCTGATTTTGGAGAACAAGAGAAAGGAATCTCTTTTCATTTTGAATTATTTTAACCAGCACAGTGGCTCTTCTCCACACAGAAGAGAAAAGCTTGTCATTTAAAAAGAAAACACCCAAGGCTTTTTGCCATAAGGTGCTCATAAAGAGAGAGAGGATACCCACCTACCAATTAAAGCCGAAGTGCAAGGGCTCCTTTTTGGTCATCCTCACCACACCTACTGCAGTGAAGGTAGTAGGGTCAGATAATTGGATTCATATTTCCAGAATAAAGCCAGTCCCACCTGAATTGCCTGAAGAACAAGGTCACTCAAAAGGAGGAAGCTACTCCTCTGAGCCTCTGGAAGACTTGAAATTTCTCTTCAAGAAACAAGACTCCAGGGCTGCTGTAGGAAGCATGGATTTCTGACCTGTTCCCCATATTTGGGCTCACAGTGAAGTTTCTTTCTCCTGTCAAACAGTCAGCTCAATGGTCATTAACTCTTTTCTGGTTGTTTTCTGGTAGGTTTTTCTTTCTTCAATCCAGCCAGTGAGCCACAGAAACCCAACATAGTTGGAGAGCACCTAATCCCCAGTAAGTAGGGTCTATATCCCCTTCCAATTTGAAGAATCTATGGAAAACAGATACTTTCACTCACTCAGCACCCCATAAAAGAATTGTGGGGTCCTGTGTCTCTCAGGGGAAATGAGACAGATTAGGGTGTGGCAAAGCTGGATGGGGAAGTAGGCACGACCTGTTATGAACAAAGCCCCAGAGCTCCTGTGCAGAACAGTGCCCACACCCTGCACATGGACTTCCTGTGAGAACTCGAGCAGGTCTTCAGTAGTATGGCCTAGACCAGACGTCAGCCAGAGGTGTGCAACCCCAGCCTCACCTCTCAGGATGCATACTGTGAAGTTTTCGTATGCTTCCTCAAGATGTAGACAGCATAAAAGGGTACAGAGACCAAGTAGAGCTCACCAGCGTGGCTTTTCTCACAACAGCCTGCCCTGTCCTCCACAGTGTACTTTTATATTTCTTTTTTCTCTTTTACTCAGCCCATATTTATTTGATAGAGCCAATTTTCCCCTTAATCTTCTACTTTTTCAAGTACTTTTTGTCACTGTGTTTTGTTTTGTTCAATTCTTTGTTCAAGACAAACAAAGACCAAAAGAAACCTGGAATTCAACTCTAGAAGGATACACAAACACCATAAAACCTGGTAACATTTATCTGGTGAGCCAGTGTTAGAAGGAACTACCCAGTAAAACTATCAAACAGATGTGTAGTCCTGAGATATCACAAGTAATTTTAAGTGGGCAGAAAGAACTCAAAACTCATTAATTTTAGAAAAAAAATCACATGATACATTTGCATTAAAATATGGTTAAGGCTAACACTCTGTAACACTACAACAACATTGTTTTACAGTCTTTTTTTGTTGGTTGTTTTTGGAGTGTTTTTGTTTTTGGCAGAACTGGGGATTGAACTCAGGCCCTTGCGCTTGCCAGGGAAGCTCTTATTCCACTGAGCCATCTCCCCAGCCCGTTTTTGGTT